TCATCCTCAGCCAGTGGTTTTTTGCCTCCTCTGCGCTCTCTGTGTGTGATGCAGAATTCTCCACTTAAGGCATTCTCTTTCCGTGCCTCTCTGTTTATTATATTCACATTTTCTCCTGTGTATATATTTCCTCATTTGCTCTTTGAGAGGATTCCTTCACGCCGCGCCAAATGAGGCGAAGGTGAAAAAGAGCAAGAATTCACAATTGAAAATACACAATGCACACAGAAGAGAGAGAGAGAGGTGATGCTAAATCCCTGAAAATTGCCCTCCACGCCGTGCGAGAGACACTTCAATGAGTAAAAATAGTTAATATATTGATTTTTTGTTTGTTCTGTGCAGGTGTCCAGTGTAAACAGCCATGAATGACTAAATGAGGTGGTTGGGAGAGTTTCTCACTCATTGCTGAGCAACACAGCGCGACATGGGAAGAAGGAACGGCAATTTAGCATTTTGCTACGCATCCAATTTCATATTCTCGCGGCGGAATGCGCGCTGTATGAAAATGGGGAGGAAAGCTGTACACAATTGACGATGGGCGCAACAATTGATTGATGAGCTGGAGAAATGTCTTTGAACACCAAGAGAAGTGAAATGAATGGACATTCTTGTGGCGAGTGTGCGTCATTTTAGTCGTGGGAACGCTGGTCTTCCCTGCAAATATTGAATGTTTCCAGAAATTTTTATTGCGATTCACCTCAAGTCTTCAAATATTTGTCCGGCTCGAGGCGATGCGACAACTGGACAGAGGATTATCAGTATATAATGTTGTGACACATCGCACAGTCCATGAACTTTCGGCAAAGCCCATCGAACACATCGCGGTGAGATTAGATGGAAATTTGAGTCCTGTGATGATCGTGAAAGTCCCGCGAATCACGCAGTTTTTAGGTAGTTATTCACCTCAGGTCGAGTGTGAATATTCGCATTATTGGCAACATATGAATAATGTCGCGGGCGCGAGGAGAAAGACAGAGGGCTGGAGGTGAATAAAAATGACCAAAGAAGGTGTGCTTATCGCCAATCAACTTGGCATATAAAGTCACACACTACGCAAGAAATTGACAGCAGCAGAAGTTGAAGTTGGGAGAGCAAATAGAGACGAAAGAAATGCTGCGCTATTTGCTCAACTCACGATCCGTGCACAATTGTGACGAAAAAGGCGAGGCTTCCAGTCTTGGCAGGATTTTTACCGCCGCACTCGTGCAACCAACATTCCATCCTCGATGCGATGATCGCGAGCCGCTGTGTCGCGGCTTCAATTCGAGGTCCATAAACTCCGCGAGCTCCTCATTTGCTCCACGACGGAATGCGCCCGTCACCTTATCAGTATGCTGCCCAGGTCGCCTTTTTCGTCCACCAGCTCTCTTCGCCCAGATCCAGCCGATGGCGTCAAATATCTTGTGATCTGTGCTCGCAGAGCCACAGAGGAATTCATGAGCTCCGCGGAGAGACACTTGCAATACACACGCCAACAGGTTGTCAGGGCGTCTCGGGCGGACTTCTCCGATTTCATAAATTGCCATCCAGTGAATGATGTGCAATGCGATGAGGAACGCGCTCATTTCGGCCACGATCGCGCTGTTTCACCACGACCGGGCTTTTGTTACAACTTCCAACACTCAGCGCATATTTGTGGCATTTCTTTCGCATATGCAAAGCGCGTTCATTCACTGCTTTTTCAGTAGATCAACTCCAAACCATTGAAAGCGTGATACTTTATAGAGTTTCAAGCATGTTCACTGCTTGGGAAATTCAACACCTTGTTCTTGATAATGTGCATTGAAAGCACTTCTTGTGTTGATATTGAAATATGTACCGAAAGCAAAGAAGTCTATCAAATATCTGTGCCTCTGAATGAAGGAAACGTAAGATGATAACTTCTGCTCCACTGAATTGATTAACACTATGGCTTTCGAGTCATTGGAAAGCTGATTACATTCTCTGAAACTCCCTAAAACACGTCAGTGTTATAAGATGAATTTGTTCTTTGTTTATTCTATAGTTTAAATAAATTCCTCAACCGCACCTTTGCGTCAATCAAACAATATTGGTTCGTGGGAAACACTTCAAATAGATAAAATAATCTTTCATTTGCACTAGTGATGATCAAAATCGGTGCAGAAACACCTGAAATATTGGTGTTTATTCTACAGTGAAATGATGGAAAAGATGCTTTTCATCGCATTCAATTGTGCTATTCGCCTGCACGCTGAAGCTTCATCTCCGCTGACATGCAAAGAGTGATGAATTGTGGTACGAAATGTGCCCAAGATCGCACATTGTTCCATTCAGTCTCGATCGACATCAATTGCTGACAATATTTATTGGCGCCTTGCGCAGGTCAAAGTGGCAAATGGTGGCACTTGATTGCTAATTTATTGTTGAGATCAGCAAATAAATAAATGCCAGTAATCTTCACGTGTCCTCCTTCCCAATCATGTGATGCTGATGTGGCAGAAAAGCACCACTTTTCTCAGAAGTCCGCGATGGGGGAAAAAAAGTTCGTCATCTGCTGAAGATTGTATGATAATGATTGTCAAGTGATGTTTAAATTAGCGCTAAATCTTCACGATGTCTCAATGTATATCCGGCTGGCTAATGCCTTGGCGGTGATTAGAACTCTTTTTCTCCTGCCACCTGCAATTAATCTCTCTTCCAGAAGCCGCACTGCAAATCGCGAACAGGTTCGCGAGCGCGCGTATAAGAAATCCAATAAAATATTCGCTCTCTCGGGCAAGATTCAATGAAATATCAATGCGTTTTTTTCATCAGAAAGCTCTCACGTGTGCTGCTGAATAGAGAATGAGATGACGGCGGTGATTTTCCTCCTTGAGGCCGGGAAATGCTCATTAGCTGGGCGACTGGATTACGCCGCTTAGACGTATTAATTATTATTTGTGACCACCGCGGGCAACAGCTGAATGTGACGGCTTTTTTCTCGCCTCGTTCTCAACTCACGAACAGGGCGATTCGCAAAAAAAGATTGCAGTTATATTTTCGCCAGAGAGATTCACGCCATTCGATTTGAGTGAAAGATTTCCCGCGCAAGCGGAAAAAGGTGGACGTGAGAATTGCTATCGCGCATGGAATAAATTTGGTGGAATTCGCGATTTGAGGTGATAATCAATCACACGATCGCACACCCTATTTGGCATTCATTGAATAAATTAAGCCAAGAGAGAGAAAAAACTCTGGCGCCTCTATAATAGTTGCAAAATAGCTGAATAAGAGTGTGTGATAAGAAAATGAGATTGAATGCTTTGTCGATTTCCGTTCTCATTTGATCAGCTTTTTCTCCTCCGTCTGTGATTTCTTCATTTTCTCCCTCTCTCTCTCTCTATAAATTCTATATTTTATGCCTTTTGTCTGACCCTCTCTTAACCTTTCATGAATGAATTTCTCTCTCTCTTTGGGTGAATTGATTGGCTCTGCGACTCTCTAGAGAGGCTCTTCAGAGAGCCTTGGAGAGCATGTGAAGATGGAGAAGAAATCTCTAATTTCGTCAAAGGACACAACACGAAAAGCCCTTCAATAAATCAAGCTGTGCGGAGAACGAACGATAAGAATCGATCTTTATGACTCAATGAACTTCTCAATCAATAAGATTTGTGGGTAATTTTTCTATTTGTCTTTCTCACATCGCGTCGAGCATTTTTTCGGTCGATTTTCTCCTCTTTCTTCAACATTTCGTAAACAAGTGATAAATATTGAGTGCGTGAGACTCGAAAATGTCTCAGAAAAGACCCAATATTGAATCATAAAAAAAACTTAACATCAACACTAATGACGACAACTTGAATTTCTTGAGCATGACTCCTTATCGCGCAAGGCGCTGTGAATTGATAAACATATTCTGCGGTTATTGACGCAACTTTGTGGTGTGGCTTCAGTGGCTAATAGTCATTTTGTATGCACTTGGCATCATTCGGCGCGATAGCAGTGGAAAAGTGCAACTGAATGCAGCAAGATTACGTCCAAAGTCGTATTTTTCCACGACCAGCAAAACCTCTTGCCTGCCTAAGGGGAAGATATTACGGCCAGAAGTGGTGTACAAGTCAGCGAAAGTCTTCAAAAGTGGAAACTGTGGAACTTTTCTGTTTTGAAAGCTAGTTTTTCAACCAATAAACAAATGTAACATTTCTACTAATTAGCGAAATCAGACATTTGCATGCAATAAAGATCAAAATTTCGTCTTTTAACCATAAGAAATACTACAAACTCTGTTATAGTTCAACATAACCACAAAAGTTGTATTTTAGAATCGAAAACTGTTAAATTTGATAGCTTTTCTGGTATATTTTTGTATCAAATCTGAAATTCTGTGTTCATTAGCGAATTGAACCCTTAGCTTCTTTCCTTGGAATCACTAAACAATTGCGTAAGATCTCTTAATAATATTTTTGAGGCTATGGTTAAGAATCAATCAAGAAAAGCGTTTTAAAAATAGATTATCGCAAACAAAATTGCCAGAGAACTTCAGAAATCTCTTAAATAATGTTGTAAAATAATTTTCAGGCTGATAGATTTCAGCCACATTTTCTCCCCCTTTGGCCTTCCTTCCAGAAAATGCTCAAGATGTTGGAAAAAGAGCTTTGTGTAATTGCTTTTGCAGCAGAAGAGTGAAATTTATCCACTCTCCGCTGCTAATATCGCTGAAATGATTGGTGTAAAATTGGCTGGAAAGACACTCATTCGCGCGATGCAATTCATGAATGGAAAAGTCCTGGAATGCCGTGAATGGAAGCGCAGTGGATCAATCACTGGAAAGGTGAGACGACGAGAGAAAGAGCTTTTTCTGGCCGACTGCACTCTCTCGCGCGGCTCTCTCTCTGGCCGCGACTGTGTGTGGGAAAATGCGGACACAGAAGGGGAAGTTCGTGGCGACTTCGGGCCGCAGTCTGTCAGTTTCCGTCGTGAGTCCCCTTTGCGATTGGCGAAGGGGCGGAGCCTCGGCGGTCGGGGTATAAAAGCGCGCGTGGGGGATTCGGAATAGTCACTTGAAGTGGAAGAGTCGTCGTGTGCATTGCGCATTGTTGAGTTGCAAGTAAGCGTTTCATCTCAGCCTGTAATCTGTGCAAATAGTCGTGAGATCTTTTTCGGGAATCTTGTGAGAGAAGAGCAGTTTGAGTGAAGATCACTTAAGTGACTCTGTGGAGGGAAATCGTGACGAGTTGGAGAATATCGGACTATCTTTTGGATTATACCGTGCTGACTTAGTGTGGAAGAGTTTTTATTATTGAATGAAAATGAAGGCGATCACGGCTGTTTGCTCCACGGGCGCCTCGGTGCCGGGCATTTCCGGTGGCCGTGTGGCGAGGCATCGGGACGGCGAGAACGCCGAAATACAGATGTACTTGTCGAAGCTGAAGGATCTCGTGCCGTTCATGCCCAAGAATAGGAAACTGTCGAAATTGGAGGTGATCCAGCACGTCATTGACTACATCTGTGATCTCCAGAGTGCACTGGAAATGCACCCGGCTGTGAACACCTTCGACGCCGCGGCCGCCCTCAACCAACCCACCGCGAAACACTCGACGCCGGTCAGCCCCAGACAGCCGCTCGGCGTCCGGCCGAGTCCCAACACAATCCTCACCACCGGAACCAATCCAGCCGCCAGTGAGTCACACCACCAAGTCAGCTCGTCCGCCGCGATCACGGTGAGTTTCACGGGCAGTTAAGGGCGGTTTTTTCCCACCCTCGAGTGCAAGCAAAGTCAATCAGCGGACGCGTGAATGAAGTTGTGAAGGAGAAAAAGAGCGTGAGACTCGGCAGAAGTGGCACAGAAAGCTCAACGCTGCGCGATTTCAATGTGAAAATTGAACACCTGCGAGAATTTGAAAAATTGTAATGTGTGAATAGCGCAATTCGACCATCAAAATGTTCTTTGTTCACGATTTTGTTAAATCGCCGTCTCGTGTGTGTGGTTTTTATTTCTGGGCATCGCGATGAGACTCGTGAGGTCTCCAATTCGTCTCTGATGATTAATAAACACGCATTGAGGGGAGAGAAAAAAAGATCACACCAATCAACAAGTTGGGCCAAAGGCGAGATTGTGGCCTTTTTTTTCTCCGCGAGCGTCTTTAGTTTTCTCTCGCCCCAAAGCAAAATATCTCCGGAGCTGTTGTGTGTATGTGTGGATAGTGTTATCAATGCAGCTGCAACAGTTCCACGAATCGCTCTCTAATCATCTCCTCTCTGTCTCGAATTCCCAATTGTGATGATCACATCCATCTCCTCTCAAGACTCTGTTTGAATTTGTGAATGTTTGCCTCGCTGCGGCGTGATTTTGGCTCAATAGCAAGAGTGTGTGTTTTATTTGTGAAGCAAAAGGAGAACACGTGCACTTATTTCTGTAACTGCGCGACAAACACACAAATTACCATGATAGAGGCATACACAACAGAATGGGGAATAGACAGAGAGAGCGATGGTGATCAGGGCCGGCAGCTTTTTTTCTATGCTCCACAGCATGCAAGTGTTGTGTCTCCTCAACACTGAAGACGATCACTCAAGATCGCGCGGCGGGGCGAAAAAATGGGAGCATAATTGTTAACACTAGAAGGCGCTTTGTGGCCACTGTGGTTAGATTTGAATAGCTAGCCTCGCTGTGTCGGCTAGAAATGCGTAGGCAATTTCAGAAGCTTTCATTGGGCGAAAACAGCACGAAAAAAGGTTATTTAGTTCGTGTTTAATTCACAATAAACCAAAAACTGTCCTCCGAAGCACTTGTCAACTGGCCAGAGTGGCCAGATGATAAGTAGAGACATCTGTCGGCTGTAAAAATGTCGTAAGAATACGAATGAAGACGCATTTCATAATGTGCAGCAAAATTCCAATTTGAGAAGCCAAATGCACTTTTCGATTAAAATCTCCAGTTTGTTCGACTGAAATTCATGTCCAGCGATATTCTAGTGTTAAGAAGACGCTGCAATAACCAATCGATTGCTGTGCATTGTGCCTTTTCGGCTCGCAATCGTGATGCGGAGCAGCAAATGATACTCTTTGCTACCTTTTTGCGCGCGCCTTTCTTTCAATTTTTCAATTACAATGGCAAAACTGATTTCCCGCATTTCATTGTTGGCTTTTTGCATACTTAATCAATTTCCATTCGTCAAAAATCAAATAGAAAGTTAACTCACTGGTGGCTCGACTGAGTCGCGAGCGCTGTGAGAGTTTCCAGAGCCCACAATTTATCGCGCGCGCTGATTTCAATTTCGACGAAGAGAGAATGTGTTGCCAAAGAGAGGAAAAGACTTCAAAATTGCCATATTTTGTGGGCCAGGCCGTTACAAGCTCAGATCGCAGATCCTCAGAAAACACAAGTGTTCACAGACAAAATGCTTTGGCTTTCTCAACTCTCCCAAGAGAGCAAAATATACACACAAGAGCAAATGAATGGCGAGAGATGGAGCAAATGGCAAAAATCTGACGTGATTTTATCTTGGAGTGAAAAATACTGTAAGCAACAGAGAAATAATGAGAAATTTGCGCAAGCAAAAGAGTCAAAGGAGGGAATAAAAAATTTTCCACAATTTTGTGGCTAAAAGAGAAAATTGTCGTTGGGCAAATGAACTCTTTTTCTGCACAAAATGCGAGAATTATGCAAAAGTTTTGCTGAGTTTCATCAACAAAAATCTCTACTAAACCACACACTCTGTCCCATTCGTATCGCAAACCGCCGTGATAAGCGCGTGAGTTCTATTGTTTGTGCATTTTCTCACTGGCGCGCAAGTGAATTTTCACACTGAGTTGTTTGTTGAATTTTCACACGAAGTCTCTTTCTCGAATGAGGTCGTTTCATTATCAAAAAAGCAGCAGCAGCGATGAATTGTGAAAAGCGAAGGGGGAAAAACTTGAATTTTTCCACGTGAGACTTGCAATGGTTTTGCATGGAATTTCATGGGTGATGCCTATAATTTTTTTACGCCGCCTATAAACATGCTTTTTAGTGCCTTTGCGACCGCGAAGCTCAACACGGAGTTGACAAAGTATGACCCAAATAGTGGAGTTTTATATTCTGCCGCTGGTCGTGGGCAAAAAGATGACACAGCGCAAGTAATGTGGAATTTATGCAGACGAATTTGTTTGATAGAATTTTTGGTGAAATTGCTGGTGTTTTATCAACACAGCGGAGTATAAAATGCTTGATTTGTAGTTGTGAAGAAGTGTTTTGAGCACTTTCCATTGAAATAAAATCAAATATTCTTGAGAATTCTCATGTTGTTCGTGAGATTTGCAAAGAAATAGACCTGAAATTGGTGCTTTTCGGAGCAAATTCTGGAGCAGGCCGAAAAAGTGGGCGGAAAAGCGCTCGCTCGGCGGATACGGTCAAATTGGTATCTTCCTCTCGTGCTGAGGATCACAATTGAATTGGAGAGACGAGTCTGTTCCACGTGCACGCTCGCTGCTCAACAACCGTATCCGGGACACGATGGGTGCGCGAGATCATTTGTGTGACTGATTGACTGTTGCAATTGCTCGGGGGGAAATTCACAGAGTGTGGTTGCCTCTTGGGAGTGCTCATATATAGAGAAAGGTTTCTAAATTGGGAAATCACAGTCGCAGATATTTTGACTTTTTTCCCTGTCATATTGACGTCATGAACTGTTAAAAAAAATACTCATTTTCCTCTCTTTCTCACTTGCAGACAACGTCAGAAAAGTCGGTGAGCAGCGATCGATTGGATCTATGTTAGGAATAAGAGCATCTTCTTATGTAATGTTGTTGTGTGTAAATAATAATGTGTAACCTAGAGACTGGAGACGATCACACAACGTTCAGCGAGAGAAAATTAACATTAAAGTCGAATACAAGTGTGTAGATTTCGTTCAAATTGTCATCGTCTCCTTGTTAGAACTGGGCAAGGAAAAGAGAGAGAGCGCGCAATGCAATTGTAAGTTTTATTTTTTTGAGGTGGGAAAATGTGCTTATTTAACACACAAAAGCAAAGAGAAATGATAGGAAGAAAGCTACACAAAGAATTTTTTTTTCTATAATGGACTTCAATTAGATTTTAGCGATTTTATGTTAGTTTTTGATTGTATAAATGATGAAGAAGTAAATGAAAAAAAAAATTGTTCTGTGATCGTAGATTATTTTGTACAAAGTGTAGATTACATGAAAAGGGATTTAAAGTACATCTTTATTAACAAAACTACAGAAGAATAATGCATAATTTCAACTACAAACAACCATGATTTTTGTTGCCGTCAATTTCACAAAGAAAACACACTTAATTCTACATAGATTTCATTCACCATATAAAATCCATGTGCGACAAAACACTTTCGAGCAGTATAAATTATATTCTTCACCCCGTGACTTAAATGTTTCTTCACGTGAATAGCGATTTAATTCTTAAGTAGAAAATTAATAATTACACAGATGAGACAAATCACATGCTATTGTAAAGAAAGAGGAGGCGAAAAAGATGAAAAAAAATCAATTGGATAAAAAGATGAAGAGAGCAAATAAAAATCTTGATGAAAAAATAAAACATCCACGACTTTCAATTGCGCGGAAGCCGATTAATTCCAGAGTGAGAAATTTCACCACTAACGACCGGATAAATTTGGGAGTCTCGGCGTCAATTAGCCCGATCAGTCGCTTTCCCAGGTAACTTTCGGCCGAGCGCTGATGTGGCAGCGAAGGAATTCCTGGGAAACAGAGTGTTGAGCATTGCCGAAAAAAGGCGCGTAAGAGATTCTGGTCAGGTGTACATTCCATTCCCATTCGGTATTCTTCTCACATTCTCTCTCCACTCTTCGCTCAATCTCTGTCAATTTGGAGAAACATGAGAAATTATGTAAAATTCCTCTTGGGAAGAGAAACACGATGAACAGTGACGGAGAAAAAATGAGTCAAAAGTCTTCACAACACTGCGAGAAATCGTCCGTCAAGCGAACCGAAAATCTCGGCTTTTGGTAAGTATTTGATTACTTGTATTACTTGTGGCTTTTCAAGCGCTTTCTTGTTCACTGAATAGTCTAATGATCGAAAGAGTCATAATTATAAAAATAATATGAAAAGTCAATTAATTTTCAACAAGATTCACTTTTGCATTCTCGTTTTATTAAATAAGACGTCAAATCATACTTTATAAGAACGAAGTTCGTGTGCAAATATATAATTTAATTATTATTGAAATATATTTAGCATAAAAAGCACAGAGGTAAAATTTTATACTGATCTTTGGTTAGAATTTAAAATTTAGCAAAAGTTTAACAAGATTTTTCAATTGCTTTCTTTCAAGATGAAGTGTAAGAACTTATCGAGACTTATCGATAAGAATTGCATGCATGAAACAATTGTAAAGTGTTAAATTTCATAAAAATCTATCTTGAGATTTGTTTATATTCAACAAAATTCAGCACAACTTGCGATTCTGGATAAGATTTCGCATGCGATATTTCGTCAAATGTGTGAAATTTTCTGCCAAACCATTCGTCACGGTGCTGCGCATTGTTTCAGAACGGTCGCAGTGTCGAAAGTGGCCAGAAAGCGGCGCGAAGGCGAGAGAAAAGCAGCGCGAAGGACAAGGAGAGGAAATCACAAGACGAGAGGATGCAGGTGTTCAAAATTGATTCTCGATCGTGAATTAAATCGCGGTTAATCTTTTAATTGAGTGTGTTGTGTTGGGCTATTGCATCACGGAAATTGACACAGTGTAAATTCGATTGCAATCGCACGAATCCCACACACTTGCACGCCAATTTCTCATCCGCAGATGAGAGAACTGGAGTCGCGCTGTTGGTCACCCAAGAGCGCCTCATTTTGGGCCGCGAGGCCTTCGGGGCGGCAGTTTAGCGCGACACGAAGAAGGTGCAAAACTGTGGGCAATGAATTTCGGCAGGCGGAGAGGGCTTAATTGATTTCATCGAAGGAAATTTTCACCATTTCAACATCCGTCGTTATACATTTTTCCTCGAGACGCGCGCTCGCGACTTGATGATTGCTGGGCGCGAGAATTGCAATAAAAACAGCAAATAAAGGGGGATCGCTGGCCTTTTCGACTTTCACTATGGCTGGCTTTGTTGTGATCGTCAGAGACTCTTGAGTGGTACGCCAAAAGGTCACATTTATCACTCAAGTAATCCCATTTTTTTTGCAGACGCGCATGAAATTTCTGGTAATCGCACGCGATTTCCCGTGGCATTTTCCGCGGTGAATTTTGTGAAATCCAATTCAAACCACTGCTGACTCTTGATTTGATGACGTGCGGCGCGAACACCTGTTTGTTGTTACAGCGAGAGGAGCTAACAATTGTGCACACACACTGGAATTGTAGATTTCATTGTTGGCCGCCTCGGCAATTTCCATAAATTTCCGAATGCCTTTGATTTGCTGCGCGTCCGGCATCTGAATTTTCTGTCGCCCCAGAAAACTCCACTTTTCCGCACCACAACACACAGAATCGCCTTTTTTGCCATCATCAGAGCGCGCCTCAACCTTGCCTCGTTCGCATGTTTTCTGATTTTATTGCAATGGCGCGATTGAATCTGTCGGCTTCTCCTTTTTTTCCCACCGCGCAAATCTCGCCAAGTACAAAAATTTAATTGTAATGCTCAACAATCAACCATCTGGTCGGATGTGGAGAAAAAGCTCGAGTCACACACTCAACTAGGTGTATAAACTTTTGGCTTCCACTTCTGTTGTTGCTTTTTTTGCGACTCGCGATGCCACCGAAGGCGATTGAAGGCTCGAATTCTGGCTTTCATGCGCAAACAAATGGCTAATTACTGTGCTCAAGGGGAAGATAGTGTTCAAAATGACCAATTTTGCGTGATTTTCTACGGATTCTTAACTTCTGAGGATTCAATATGATAAACTTTATTAACTGCAAAAGCTCGGATTCACAATTAAACAAAAATGCGTTTATTTTAAGACAAGAATTGATATCTCCCCCTTTGTTTGTGATCTCAAATGTGCTTTGCATTGAAGAGAGCGTGAAAATTGTCTGTATTTCGCCGCCCATTTTTCTCAGTGCACAAACAAAGCGTCTGAAGATTCTCGAGTGAAATGCAATAGCGAAACGGCAATGAAACTGTCTCCCCATATCGATATCTTATTGCGCTGTAATCGAAAATTGCACCCCTTTTGGTCGTATTAAATTTCATATCGGCGAAGCCCTGGAGGAATCATGAGAGCAAATAAATGAAGATGCCAAGTGCTATTGAGATTCCGCCTGGGAATTCCCTGCAAATGTTCGTATATCTTTGGCAAATGTTGCACATCTCGTGTGCGGATATTTTATTCATGAGACCAGCAACCGATTCGTGGGCGAGCCACTTTTCCTCATTGACTGTACGTGGCTTAATGGCCGAGAGTGTTTTAGCCATGCCTCGACAGATGGGCAATGCGATTTTCTCGCCACCCTCGCGCCGTGCGCCCCAGAAAGCCTCGTGAGTGGAAAATTCGGGTCTTATGGGTTCGCGAAACCTTGCGAAAAGTGTAATGAAATCACTCGAAACACCTGCAGAGTTTCACCTTCCGCGCGTTTTTTCCACCGCTTCGCCTCCATTGTTAGTCACTGTATCGAGAGAGTGGTAAACAATTTATTAGTAATTAGGTTTCCCCATTTTATCCACCGCCAATTCGTCGTGGCGCGCTTTTTGGGTGCACATGGAAAGTGCTGAAGCACTTGGAGGAGGATTTCTCGCGGCACACTTGCGACCGAGACGCGCACAAGTGTGTGACCGCAAATCTTATCAGTGCGCGCGATAAGGCGTGTGTAAGACGAGTGTGGGGGCCAAAAGACGGGGGCGGCGCGGGCGTGAAGACGCAAAATGTGCGCGGGAAGGGAGAGACATTGTCGAGTTTATGTAAACAGCGCGACGATCATTACTCCTCGACTTCGAGGAACTGCGCTCAGCGCGAGATTGGGGCGATAAGGAGTTGTCATCAGGGACGCCCCTTGGGATTTCTCCGCGCAATTGTACCTGCGCTCAAGTGCGTCAATCGGCCCACAAAAAATCACTATCAATCACTCGATCGCGCTCCTCAATTGGAGTGTAAACACCTGCACAAGTGGGAGAGAAGTGCGTGGCGATCGCGAGAGGACATAAAGGCATCCAGTAAATCTGTCTCAGCTCATTTTCCCACTCGTTCATCTCGCCAAAGTGCGCAAGAGTGGCTGATGTCGCGGGACACTTTTTAAATCATTAATTCACCGTTTCAACTGGATGATGGGCTCCTAAATTACAGACAAAGAAGCTCCGCTATTGAGGCGAGCATAAATAAAATTAGATACATTGGGAGAGCGAGAGAAGAGTGGATATTGGGATATTTATGTGCACCCAGAGCCGCCAACCCCACTAATTTGCCCCCAATTTACGGCGACAGATGAAATCTTCCTGATCGAGAGGGAAAATTGACGTGCAGGAAATTGGCATGCGATCGACAAAGAGAGGAAGCACTTGAAGAGTGTCACTCTGGGTGAAATTTACACCTCGAAATTCACTCAGGGAAGTGAGCCAAGAGACGCAAATTATACGCCAGCAGACAATGTTGCCCAGAAGCAATGCACTAAACATACATTAGAATTTAAAAGCAGACGAACTTGGCAAAAAATCACAACAATGAAGTGAATCAGCGGAGAATAATGAGGTGAAAGACACTCCAAATGCTAATCCGGTGTTCCATCATAAAGTCACAGACATGAATAGAGCCATAAGCCGTGCGGAGGAAATGTCGAAGGGTGGAAAATCCCTTCATCATCGGGCCGCTCTCGGGGAGGAAATGGAATTGCCATGGTGCAGTGCACTCAAATAGCATTACATGGATTCACAATATAGCCGAGGAACCCTCGCAAGGATAACATCGGCCACCAGGAAAGGCGGCCGCGATGGGCGGAAAGCGGAGGGAGAGAGAGAGCATTTTCCTCTCCCAATGAATATATGAGGGCTCGTTAGGCCGAGACACACCCTACAATAATATTTCCACCACAGAGCGAGAAAAGCCACCCTCGCGAAGGGTGTGACTCGAGTATTTGCAGTGAAATGAATACACAAGGAAAAGCAATAAAATTCATGAACACGTGTTCAAATCGATGGAGAGATTTTCATCATTTCCCCCGCCTCGGGCGGCTTTTTTGGCAAAATATGCGTGAGGATGGGAAATACGATGAAATTCTTTTTCCACCGCAGCAACATTGTGTCACAATGTCCAGTGCCGAAGCTTATCAGTGCCACATATTTTCATCGTGAAACCGTCGTGTATAATCTAAGGCGATTGAAGGGAAATCGAGTGAAGAAAAAGCATTAAAGCTATCCTAAATTACACACAGGTGTGTTCTTATTTCCGTTCATTTGCACTTGTGAGTTTGACACTAATAAGTCGTTATCGTGACCAAGCTAATGTCTCTCTCGCTCTCTCATAACATGCCTTAATCTCTGCGCGAGGTTTCTGATGAAATACGCGCTCATGAATTCAAAGAAGCGCTCTTATCGC